TGCGTACAAGAAATGTTCTTTCGACTTGCAAAAAAAATTCGGTCGATAGGTTAAATTTTAAAGCCAAAGTTATAGATAATATTCCAAGGTAAATTTTGCGTACTAGGTCCTTGGTCCGGCCACCGGTTGGTAACATTAATCAGCCAAATAGTGATTAAAAAGGTAGAGCCTCAAAAAGTTCAGTTTTCGTTTCGTTTAGTTCTTAGACTTATAAATTAAGATTCGTGAATTGAAGTGAGGATCTTTCGACTTTGAGACACATTTTAAGTAAACAACTTTCAATGATTGGAGTTAATAATAAAAACCGCATGCAGCATTCAAGTTAAACATATTGGCCAAAATTGCTCGAGACTTTCCCAGTAGCACTGTACTTTATTTATTAAGTAATCATATATAGAAGGACATAACAAGGAAGCTTATGTCTGTCCGATTGGTTTCATTATAGTCCAGTCAATCTAGGCAATTTTGAGGCTCAACATCAAACTAATTCCAACAGAATTTCTTTCAACGCCATTTAAGTATGGCTGGGTGGCGTATTTATCAATATGCTAAAAATCCGCCAAAATCTGTTTGGTGGAACATGTCGAATATTTTGAGCTTTTAACACAGGGCACCCACGATAATTGAAATTATACGTTCAAACGAAAAATGCAAAAAAATGTGTTTCTTACTTTTACGGAAAACACAAAGCATAAAGAATAGCTGCTACCTTGTTTTTGGTGCTATGAAAAGTGTTTCTTTTTTTTCAAAAAGGATAAATCTTAAACACGGCTGACTATTGCATAGGAAGCCCATGCACTATTCAAGGAACCCCAGAATAACAAAGGGCTTACAAAGTAATAGACTGAACTGTTAGCTGTTAAACTAAAACAAATTTAGTCGTCAGGCTTTAAATCTGAAAATGAAAGCCGCCTTTACAATATATCTTGAATAACGTTATGGCCAAAACGGAGCTCTCCCTTCAGACAGTCAATGGAGACCTTTCTAAAGAAACGGGGTTATTCTCGTTTCACACAGTAAACGGCCCTCTAGAGTGTTCTCTGCGTATACTGAGAACTGAGAACTCATTTAACTGAACTGATTTAAAGCTTAATTTGTAACCATATTTGTTTTGAGTCAGGAGCTCCCACCCTCTCGACCAATCGAGAAAATACATAAAGTCACCCACTGAGTCAAAAGTGGTCACTTGCCCTTTATATCGATTACCTTTTTTCATTGTCCTCATTGTTAGATGTACCATATTATTGCACTGGTTAAATTGAGTGTGTGCGTTGTGCGTGTGGCGTTGAATGGTGTCATTTTTCTTTTCTTTTTGAACAAAAAGAGGAAACCTTTAGGTTGATTGAACCAGTATTTAACTGTCAACCTGTTTTCAGCGGTCAGATGGCCATTCAACATACGCTCCTATAATTATCTCTCAATTTTTGATAAATAGGATGGATAACAAAATGAAACTGACTCTTTCATTTCACTACACCACTGTCGACACAGAAAAAACAGTTTCGTCTGCTTTGAACCAGTTACAAGTATCTTTGCCTAAATGTGTCAGGTTATTTCAGAATTGGCAAAAGAATTATTTAGCTTGTTGACACGAAACCTGGGAAACCCTCCTGCGAATTAGACCCATTCAAACAAACAAACAAACAAACACTTTAATTTATGAATAGGGTGCATAATTGCAGTCGCACTACAGTGGCCCTGTCTGAACTACTAAAATTCTAAAAATCGTAAAAAAAACTAGAATACTAAGGTAATAAATAATTTAAATATCAAGTTTAAGAAAGCTAAAAAATGTTCTGTCAATTCTAAAACTCTCTCTGGTTGTTTCCCTCAGTTTTAAATGAACACCTGGACGTTGTCTGTTCCAGGCGTGTTCAGATCCTGTGGACGGCGCTGAAAAAAAAAGCGATGGGGTAGCGTAGGGGATGATAGCAAGGGGGTAGGGTAGGTGATGACAGCGATGGAACCTCTCATCTCCTCTCTCTCTCTTCCTGTTTTCCTCCTTATTTTTCTCTTCGCTGTCTTACTTCGCGCCGCACTCCACTAGACGTACGTGTCATTTTTTTTATGGTCGGCGTCGCGCGTCAACTGCATAAGTACGTCACATAGCCTGCGTAGCAAGCGTTTCCAAGGGGCACCCGACGTCAATTTTCGGAAAATATCTGTTCGGAAGATGATTTGAGATCTAGAATTTTCGGAACATTTGTTGCAAAATTTCTTGATTGCCTGCCTCTCCTAGGATTTTCGAACTTCTAAAAAATGGTATAATTGCTCATTTTTAACGGATTTTCACCCTAAAAAGGTCACCAAGAGTTTTCGGGAGCCTTTTTTCTGGCTGAAATTTTCGAAAAGGTAAGTTTTTATCCCTATAATTTTCGGATCACTAGACTTTCAGCTAGGAAATCCGAACAGATGAAAATTTTTAGGGGATAAAAATATGCTTATATCTACCGTTTAAATACTGCTAAAATGCGTTTAACAATGCTATGTTTAAGTGGTTTTGAACTATATTCTCGTTGGTTGCCCCCGGTTTCCGTGCGGTTACGGAGCAAAAAACGAGGAACGACAGTCAAAGGCCGCATGAAAAATGGGGCGCGTATAGTGGTGGGGACGCCCACCAAGAGCTTGCTCGCATTTTCCGATTTATTGGCTCGAAAAAATTCTCATTTCGAATTCTCTATGAACTTATCAGTCACTACATGTATTTTGCAAGCAACAAGTTTTTTTAGCCGGTTCCGCGCGACCAGTCAAGAACAAGAAAATTAAGTAGCCAGGCATTGAGGAATTGCTGCCTGTAAGAACAAAAACAGTTCCTTCACATACCGCAGACGGTTTCCATTTGCTGATTCGACAGAACAGACTTTGCCTTGTAACTTATGAGTTGGAGCTCACAGTATCGCAGTGTTTATATTTAACAATTATTCCACACCGTGCGCGTTGGATATGAGAAGTAGGTAAGCCAACGAGGCGCGTAACGCCGAGGTGGCCATAATCATCTCACAACAACAGGCGCGAGTGGAATAATTGTTTTATTAAAAACGCCCACAAAATATCGAGAAATCTTCCCGACCTTATTTGTAGCAACAACCGATTTTCAGCTTGTCTTTAATTTTGAGCAGACGCGTATAGTTACCGTATTTGGAGAGCATAGTATATGGCTCTTATTATTCATTCAAAATATTTCCCTAATTCTGATTGGCTAAAACCACACGTATAATTCACCATAACCAGTTACTGATGACCAAATTTGGGACAATTTTGTGTTTAACGAGGAAATGACGTCAAAAATGCAGCCTCCTACGGGTTAATGTACCGTTAACCGAGAAGACCTGGGGACGAGGTTGAGTTATTTTGGTTGTGAACTTGAAAAATGGCGGACATGTCACTCGTTTAAAGAGTAAGACCTAGGCAAAAAAATAGCTAAAAACATGGCAAGAACAGCAAGACAACTCGAAGGGCCACATCTGCTATTTGGAGAATATTTGCGGATCTGAACAACCCTAAACGTGCACTATCGAAGATGAACTTGACATCGATCGATCGATGGAGGTAAGCATGTTTAGCCATGTTTTTAAACTTGGAATTATTTTGAATGAATAATAAGACAATTAATGAAATCGGCTTTCGTATCATATGAAGAATTATGGAGATCTTGGAGGGTGTTATCCGCCTCGGCTCGATCTCCATAATTCTTCATAAGATACTCAGCCTCATTCATTAATTGTTAAATATACCATGATGGCTAAGCCAATCAGAGCTCTAGAATGGCATTATCCAATGATTCAGTTTTTGATAATATCGATTATTTTAAGACTGGTGACTAAATCTACGTTAATCATTTACCTGTATTTTATTATACCTAGTATTTTTAATTGTAGTTAATTATTAATCACTTATGTAATCATAAATTTAAATTTTAGGAGCCGTTAAAAATATTTTCTCTCTGAATAGCTCAAGCCCCGAGGGACGCTAATTTTTTTAGCCGAAATATTGGCCTATAACAAATCAGCCCTTTGCCGTAGGACCAGCCCTGCATTCAGTTTTGTTTCATTTTACACATCAAGTGACGTCTGGTTACAGCATCCCTTTAATTAGAGGACCGGCAAGAGGAAACAGTCAGTTAAATTTACGTGCTGCGTGGACCTCTGCATTCAAACAGCCTTTTCTACGTTAAGATTATAGCTACACATGAAGCAAGAGACAAGGTCAATGGTGGCGCTTTAACCTTTTTATGTTGCTGTTACATTGGTCGTTTAAGGCCTTGGATTCTGGATTTCATGCAGTGGATTCCGGATTCCTTGAGCTGTGTTCCGGATTCCAAAGTCCAAGATTCCTGATTCTCCAAGTGAAAATTCCAGCATTGTGGATTCCAGAAGCAAAAATTTCCCGGTTTCTGAAATCCGTATTCCCTTACGCGGGGTAAATAAGTTGTTTAAGAGAGAGTCTCCCTAAAACCGGTCGACTGCGTTTCGGGTCGGAAAATCAATTTCCTTTAAACTTTGCCCATGAATTTATCTTGGTCCAAAAGTAACTGAAACCGCAGTAGTTTTTGGAAATGATTCAAAGTCACATTTTTTTCGGGAGGAAAATCACTTCAGCGCCCGACGGCCAAATTTTTGCAGTGACAAAGAGTGAAAATAGCGCATATTGCTGAGTTCACCACTTCAAAGTTTTTCACGTTCACCGATTGTTTTCACTTCCTCGGATTAAGATGGTACTTTAAAGATGTAAAGCACATAATCCTGGTCCTTTAAAAGTAACACATATCTAATAAATATTTTTTGATTTACACCCACTTTGCACCATTTCCTGGTGTTACTGTGTTTGTTCTCTTTTTTACTTTCGTCTACCCACCCCACCTCCCCAAAACGATTTTGAATGATCTCTCTCGGTTGAGAGACTTACAATTGCTAATTAAACATACGAGATTGTACTTTACATAAAACGTATGACCCTGAGGGTTTCGCTTTTGCAATAGCCTACTGGAGCATTTTTGCAACATGGCGGAAGCGCCACGTAATCTGCAGTTGCCTTCAGGTTATGACGAGGAGTTTGCCGATGAAGTAGAAGATGATTTTCTTTGCTTAATTTGTCATTTGCCAATGAGGGAGCCTGTTCTTACCAGATGCGGTCACAGATTTTGTAATGCATGCCTTGAGGAACATTTCAGAAGGTAGGCCTAAATGCCCGCATTCTACTGAAAGTTGAGTGGTAAAGTAACTTTCATTCCAAACCTTTAGTTGACACCTTAACGAAAAACTGAAGCACTGGTGCGCTTTCCATTGAACACCTCGATCTGAGTAAGAACATATCAGTTGACGGAAAGTCAGCAACCCTTATTTACTAATGCAAACAACAGACACCTTAGCAGCTTAATCGATTTATTAGACGAAGGCCTTGTCTCTCAAATTTAGATTTCAAATAGATTAAAACTTTATCTGATACATCCCACCCAGCTGATGATGACCGTTAAATTATGTTACTGACGCACAAGTTACTTAAGGTTGTTTTCTTTTAGCAAACTTTTGAAATTACAAAATGTGTCTCGTTTCAGTAAATTGGAGACAAGTAGCCATTGTTCGAAGTTATTGATCTGCTCCAGCAAAGCATAAAAACTTGTCAATTTTTGAAATGTCTTGAATTCTGTGGATTTTAGGCTCGGCAAATAAAATCAGCCACAAGTTAGTAGAAAGAAGTTTTGTGATGGAATTAATTAGTAACTATGTATCAATCGATGTTCCTGTTAATTCTTATTAAATATAGTCAATTAATCGTAATTGTCTCTTACACTGCAAAATAACAGACAGGAAGTTCAGCGCCAGCTTTACTCTTGTCCTGCAGATAGGAAACGCCTGGACCGAGACCGGGTAAATCACTTTCGTTTGCTTTTTACCTTCTTACGTCTGTTTTCAATATGTTTTTGGTCTTATTAACTCTTTTAAGGCTTACATGTAAACTAAATTACATAGGCGGAGTCGATCGGAACCAGCTGTTACAAAGTTTCGAAACAAAGGTTCCAGATTTTTCAAGCTCTTAAGGACAAGACCAGTTGCATACACGTTCTCACACTTTACCCACATGGCAATGTTTTCTATTTAGAGCAATAAGGAAATTAAGAGCATTTCAGAAATTTCGAGCACGGCCATCTTCGAGTCTCAATAATGATATTGATAATGATGATGATGATGATTATGATAATGATAGCAGTCTGTTAATTTGGCTCAGGTATTTCTTGCGAAGAATAATCTTGCACTGTTTGTTTAATTCCGTTTTGTTTTGTACTTTAGGATGTTTTTCCTGATAATGCAGCAAGAAGGAAAATTTTGTCTTTGGTGATTAAATGTCCAAGTGACGGTTGTTCGTGGACTGATGAACTGAGGAATAAAGAGGTAAAAACCCAAAATAACAATTATATTCAAGGTGCAATGGATTTCAACATTTAACCAGGATTTAACCAAGGAAAGAAGATCACTTTTTTCTTTCTTTTTTATATATTTTATTGCTTTTAACAGGCTCACCTGGAAACCTGCCAGTTCAAAATTGTTACTTGTACCAACGAAAATTGCACTCAGATAATGAAAAGAGAAGAACTGGACAATCACACGAAAACGTGCGTGTGGAGTATTATGCCGTGTATGTACTGTAAAGAGAAACAACCAAGGAAGTACTTGCAGGTATGAAGTTATTAAAAATTGCAGATCTTTTGACAATGTTCTTCTTCCGGGGGGCAACTCGTAAAGTTTAAACGGGGATGCTCCGCCCCAAAGACAAACCCCTCACCCTTATGACGGAAAAGGTATCCCTTTGTATACCTTCTATGACAAATGGTACTCCTTTCACATAAATGGTATACAATTATGCATTCCTTAACTGCTTTAAATACACTATATTTTAAATAGGAATCATTCACAAATGCAGAACGTTTTCTCGACTATTTCGCAGCCATGAAGTGCATCTGTGAGCCCTTTTGGGCCTTTCTACAGTCCTTTCTACAGTCCTTTCTACAGTCCTTTCATATACCTGAGGCCTATACAGAAGACACTCTTTTCGGGCGGAGCCTCCCTGTATAGGCCATTACAGCAAGTACCCCCGGGTTTGTTCTTCAACCTTGCGCCGTAGAGATGGGATTCCCCCTTTCGTTTGTTCTTGACTTAGCCTTGTCACCTGTCGGCGTAGCGTGTTCTCCAAACGCGCGACACCACAATTAAACGTCTTTAGCAACTGTTTTCTTTATTTTCTGTTTTTACATTAAAGTAGAAAAAAGAGCAAGTATACGAAACTAAGATGATATTTACTCAGCTTCAAATGCAGTACAGCCCACACAAAGTGGCTTTTGCAAAATATAAATGGTGACGGCAAGTAAGCATTTCACCTCTCTTAGACACAGGAGAAAAATATATACTGGTCAGGTCTAAAACTTTGAAGTATTTTTTACTGTGTACACTAAAATTGCTGTCGGCTTACTGCGGTTAACTGAAGACGTTGTCTTACAGTCTTAGTGTGTAAATAATTATTTGTCTTTTTGCAGGATCACCTTAAAACGTGCATCAAGATGCCCATTCCTTGCCCTAACAGCTGTGGGAAAGAGAGATACGCGAGAGACATGGTAATTTTATTTAATTGCAGTTTGTGGCAGACTCCCTTGATCTTCATGATGAGTAACGCTCTAAGCCATGTCTTGTCTTTCCATTAGTTTTCATCGTTTCATATTGATCTCCCTGCATGTTGTACAAAAAAATCCTTTTTGTGCTTGCATACTTAAAATTTACAGCTATTCCAGCTAACGTTGTCACATATCAAGGTCACACAACACCGCAAGACCACAAGATCATGTGGGTAGCTGTAAATACATTATAACTGATTTTGTCATAACTTTACGTTTGCTACTGCTTTAGAATAGTGCAAAACCTTACAAACGTTTACCTTCAAATGAAATTTCATATTGCTTGGCGGCCTCGTCGCTGTCAGGTTTTTATGAAAACGTTATTTGATATAGCGGTTTCATAATTAGGCGAACTGTGAATAATACAGTTCAACATGGTCGTCTCCTTGCAGCATATGACTGAACAAAGTGAATGGAAAAAAAAAGTAATGAAATGAGAAATGCAGGCCTGACCGTTCTTTGTGTCGTCAAGCAACGCTGCTGGTTACGTGACGTCAAAGAGGCGTCGAGAACCATACAGAGGAGGAGACAAGCGTAACGGGTATTAGAAGCCTTAACTTTCCTTTGAAACACCTTTCTTTTAATTCAGACCTGATCTTCTCTTGGTAAAAGAAAAAAAAACTTTGTATAAAAGGTTATGCTAAGCGTTGGCTTTTGTTTTGCGTCAGTTCTGATAACCTATTTATCATTTTATTTTAGATTCGTAATCACATTGAAAACGACTGTCGGTTGACTTTAGTCTCCTGCCCATATGCTCAAATGGGGTGCAATCAACAGGTTTGTTTTTCATTCCATGAAATTGTAAATTAAGCGGACTGAAATCATAACGCATTGTACATGATCAACGGTCTGCCAAAAACTTTAATTCCTTCATCATTTGTCTGTATCAGACTCTATTTGTCTCCTGACACTCAGACAATTACTATGCAAACAGACCTATATTTTGCAAAATGTATGAATACAAATAACAGTTTTGGTTTATAATACCATTTTCTAAGATTATCTGACTTCTTTCTACAGTTCCAGCGCAGAAACGTGGATTCGCATCTTGAGTCAGCCACGCGAAAGCATCTTTACTTGGCTTGTGTTAAACTTAACAGTTCACAGGCTCAGCTGGTTGAACAACGGGTTCAGTTAGATGAGACCCGAGTTCAGTTAGATGAGACACAAGCTCAATTAAGTTCAACCCAGGCTCAGTTAAAAAATACCCAAGAAACAACAAGAAAACTTGAGGAGAAATTAGAGGCTCTTCAGACGCAACTAGAAACAAAAGTGAATGCAGATAAAGGGGCCGACAACAAACGGTTTATTTGGAAGATTAAAAATTTCAGTGAAATTTTGAGGCAAGCCAAGGCACGATGTAATAAAGAGCATTGCGAAATGATAAAAAGTGATCCATTTTACACTGGATATTATGGCTACAAATTACAAGTGATAGTCCGTCCTTACCTTAAAACGAGGGCATTACAGGACGACGGGACACTTCTTCCTCAAGAAACTCTCTACTTTGGCATCGCTTTAGTGGAAGGTGAATATGATGACATATTACCCTGGCCTTTTAGCAAGAAAATAACGTTCACAGTGATAGATCAAAACCAGGATATCAATGAAAGGAAAAACATCACAGCAGATTTGAGGCCAAGTTCTAGAGCACCAATATTCTACGGCAGACCAGGAGGAAACTTTGAATTTGACAGTGATATTATGTGTTTCATACCTCATGAGGAGCTTCAAACAAGGCGCTACATTTTGAATGACAATTTGTTTCTTCAGGTCGATGTAGGACCTGATGATTAGATAATGTTTTCGACCGTTTATGTCTGCTAAAGTGAATCATGCAGATAGTATTGATAAACTGTCCACAAGTTGAGAAACTAGAGGCTTTTTCTAAAGAAAGGGTAATTCACTTTTCACTAAGTTAAGTATATATTTCCAATACATGGCTCTTTCAATTTAGTATTCCCTACGAACTGCAGATGAAGTCGTAAAGCTATACACTGAATTGTTTTCAAGTCAAATTTGTAATATACCATTTTTTTCTTGTATAGGAGCCCACGACTCTTTTAAATAAATATAGTGTAAGCTCTATTCAGAGGATATCCTCGGGATCAAGGCATGCAAGTGTCCCCTGAATATCGTTGTCCCCTCAATGGAGACAAATAAAATACTTTTTTTTCTTTTGTTCTGCCTCGGAATCTGTTGTAGTCATTATTTTAAGCAGCTAGATAATGTAAAAAAAAAATAAAAAAAAAAACAGGATTAACTCATCCCTGCGATGTTGTGTGTTGAATTCCCACAAGTGCAATACATCGATGTAAGTGAGACACTTCGTATTTTGAAAGCTGTTGCCATTGTGTCTAGTAAAGACTTAAAATTACGATTATTACGATTTTTGCGGTCAGTCACCTTTTGAGTGCTATAAGATGACCGTGTTCTGGACCCAGAAAGATTGCCCCTTTCCCCTGAATAGAGGTGTCTCTTCAATAGAGGTAACAAATACAAAGATTATGCGAACATTTTCCGGGACCGAATTTCATGTCCTCTAAATGGATGTGTCTCAAATGAGAACTGTAATGAAGGAAAACCTTTATGAAGCGATCAAAATTGTTCGTGTTGCGGATACACCTTAGACATGAATTGAATCTAAAATTGCCGCTTACTGGTAAGCGCTTTTAGCATCAGGCAGAAAGCAGATAGGAAGTACAAACGATGAATCAATCATAATCATATCATTTTATTTCCGAATTCTGGTTTATGTTGATTATAACGCTTGATATATGTATTTGAGGTCTAAGTTTAATTAATATTGTTAGTTATTCTTAAGTCTAGGGTTAGCCCTCTCATAAACTCATCCTAAAAATACAGAGATCGATGATAAAAAGAGAATAAACGCAATGAATGAACACGTTGCATTTCATGTGAACAATTGCCTGTACGTATGCGTCCGTGGCCTGGAGCCTGGTATTAAGTGGGAAGATGGGTAACAATCCCTTTTTTAGCCTATAATTTTTCCAATCATACTTTCCAGTGTCCAAAATTGCATTTCCACCATCAGAAGTTAGAAACTCTCACTGATTACAAACTCCAAAACCAAACTTGAGGATTGAACATTGCGAGGACGTTTGCAGTATCCAGACCCGGTCCATGCTCAAGGCTGGTGATCGGTGTCACTATGACAGCTGCACAAAAAGAAAGTGATGAGCCAGCAGTGGCCATTTTTTGGCACTTTCAATCTTTAATGTTGTTGTTATTACGGCAGTAAGGTATTTGAAACCGGGTACGAGAATATCAGACTTATCCTAGTGTCCCAGTGAGCTTATTTGCGCGCGAAAATAGAGGGTTTTTGCTACTTTATCTACCCACCCTACCACCCATAAATGATTTCTTAATTAGCTATTTGCAGCTGGCGACGACAGAATTAGATTTCAAGCGTCGCTTTCGGTTTGTAACATGGCGGAAGCGCAACGCAACACGCAGTTGCCTTCAGGTCACGACGATGAGTTTTTGTATGCAGTTGAAGATGATTTTATTTGCTTAATTTGTCATTTGCCGTTGAAGGAGCCAGTTCTTACAAGATGTGGTCACAGATTTTGCAATGCATGCCTCGAAGAATATTTGCGAAGGTACGTATAAATAGCCTGCGAAGCGCAGACGCATTTCCGGTCGTCGCTTCTCTCCCTTCGGAGGGAGAGAAGCGACGACCGGAAATGCGTCTGCGCTTCGCAGGCTAACGTATAAATGACTGAATTGTAAACTTGAATGTTTAAATTTGAATAACTTTGAACCAAAACCTTCCACCTTTTACTCTAGCAGTGTGTTCCAGTAAACTGCTCAATAGTCCGAACATCTCATTCACGCAACTGAATTCTTTCTTCATTGACATAAAAGTCGTCCTAGCTTAGTCAATTTCTTGGTCGAAGGCAATGCTGATCAGTCAGGGGCAGCCAACCAGAATATAATTCAAAACCACTCAAACATAGCATTGTTAAACGTATTTTAGTATTTAAACGGTAGATATAGGCATAGTTTTACCCCCTAAAAATTTTTTACCTGTTCGGATTTCCTAGCTGAAAGTCTAGTGATTCGAAAATTATGGGGATCAAAACTTACCTTTTCGAAAATTTCAGCTAGAAAAAAGGCTCCCGAAAATTGAAGGTGGCCTTTTTAGGGTAAAAATCCGTTAAAACGGGCAATAATACCATCTTTTAGATGTTCGAAAATCCTAGGAGAGGCAGACTAGCAAGAAATTTTGCAAAAAACGTTCCGAAAATTCTAGATCTCAAATCGTCGTCCAAACAGATATTTTCCGAAAATTGTCGTTGGCATGGTGCCCCTGATCAGTGGTTGATCCAGTTTAGTTTATGAATACAGGAAAAGGAAAGCTGAAAAATCTTTTCTGATGCATTCATGCGCTATTAAAGTGTCTTAAGTTACCACGTTAGATTTTGTTATTGGCGCAGTGGACAGTTAAGCCTGTTTTCTATCAACTTTTAAAATGACAAAATGATTTTGTTTCCACTGTTTGGAGATAAAGTAGTAGGTTCGTTGTCGTCAGTTTGGTATCACGTGATCCACGGTTGCTCCACAGGTACCCAAAGCTCACGAGTGAGAATCGTTGTTGCGTAACCGAAATATTACCAGGAGTAATCGGAGCTTAGAAGAGTGCGTTCGATATGTTTGTATAGGTAGCAGTTGAGGAGGAAGGGTGGATGGTTATAGCCTGCGAAGCGCAGACGCATTTCCGGTCGTCGCTTCTCTCCCTCCGAAAAATAGCTATTTTTCGGAGGGAGAGAAGCGACGACCGGAAATGCGTCTGCGCTTCGCAGGCTAGGATGGTTATTGCGATAGATTAAGCCCGGTTTCCATATGATCGCTACGATCGCTGCGATCGCTGAGAAAAAAAAAAGTTCAGCGATCGCAGCGATCATATGGAAACCACTCTACAGCGATCGCAGCTACAACGATTGTTGTCAGCGATTGTTGTCGCTGCGATCGCTGGAGAGTGGTTTCATATGATCGCTGCGATCGCTGAAGTTTTTTTTTTCCTCAGCGATCGCAGCGATCACAGCGATGGTAGCGATCATATGGAAACCGGGCTTTAATTTGATCATCGCATATTTTAAACGTAAGGATTACTTACAGCGAAACCTCTATTTAAACTGTGTATCGTTATGAAAAAGCCTTGAAGGCTAGTGATATCGTATGGTCCGTCTCAATAAGTGCAGTAGTTTGGTCGAGTGTGTTGATTTCGGTGACTTGAGTGGAGCTACTGTGGGCTGTTTATAAGCTTTTACGAATAAATAACATAGGCGTAAAATGTTCGTTTGTCCCGTGCCGAAAATATCACAAGTCATGATGAAACGGCGCCGCCGAGCTTCACATCTTGGTAGATTTACTTTGTGGCACAACGGCCGCCGAGCTACACAACTCAGTAGATTTACTTTGTGCCACAACGGCCGCCGAAACTTTTGAAAGATGAACGTTTTGAGAGATTCAGCAAACACATATCGATAGTAGACCTTCAGCAAACTCTTGAAATATGTACGCTTTACGAAGATTCAGGAAACTTTTAAAAGATGAACGCTTTACGAAGATAAAATGAAAGACCTCAGCAAACGCTAGCCTGCGTAGCTGGCGGTATTGTGCAGTAGTCGAGTGAGATTTGGCGGCAGAGCCGTTGTAATATAGTCGAGTGAGATTTGACGGCGGAACCATCACGAGCGGCATCATCCGCCTCGTCCCTACTCCCTTTTTTTGGAACACGGGTCCGCCGCCAAAACTTTAATCTCGTACCCACACAATACCGCCAGCTACGCAGGCTAAGCAAACGCTTGAGGACGCACGAATCACCACGTGAGTTAGCGCGTCAAAGTGAGGCAAAACGTAAGCGAGCGCCTCAAAGCGAGGGAAATGTGTGTCGACCACGACGACAAATGCAATCTCGAAAAAACCTCCCTTATTTACTGCACAGGACACCCAATAATGCACAGAACACCCAACACGAATTAGGGAATGCGTTCTCGTACCTCGAACGCAATAACAGTTTATATGGAGATTTAATTTAATCAGCCAAAATATAAAGAACCAAAGACGAGAAGTCCAAAGACTTCTGCAAAGCTGATTCATAACAACGTGTATTGTTTCTTTTACAAAAATATTTCGGATGGCCATACCAGCCTTCTTCAGGTTTACAGACGTTACTGAACTTATGTAGCAATCACAATATTATATAGATGGAGAATGTCGCAATAAAAATTGTTTAAAAGGGAGAGGCGGAAATGACGTACAACACAAAAACTGGAAAGGAAAAATACTGAGGATATGGATTACAATGATTCGTCACGGCGAAGAATTTCTAACCTTGTGTCCTTGTCTAGATTTATGTTGTTTCCATTTTTGGTCGTTTTTGGGTTGATTCCAGCCAGTTTTAGTTCTGCCGCTGTTCGTTGTACCTGTGGTTCCTCTTGCGTAACCCTGCCTTCCTTGCAGAGCATCAAAAGGTTTTAAAGTTTTTGAAATGTTTTACGCTTTTCTGTAGATTCTAGGCTCGGGAAGCCTGCACATGTTCTAAATCGTTGAAAATCAGCGGTAAGTAGTAGAAAGAAGTATATATTATAGCGGACCTAATTCCTGGAAGGAGTTTTATTATGATAGGACAGAAACCTGTCCTTAGACCACCTTAAAAGCTAAGCTTTACAAGTGAGGGGGGAGGGGACGGGGGCGGGGCAAGCTCATTTTCGTGACGCCCTGATCGACCATTTTTGGTGTCCATGAATCGTGATCATGGTGATGTATCGATAATGTACAGAAAAAACCTCTCTTCTCCGTAGAGGCTTCCTTTGGGTATCCCAATAAAAGTAGCAATAATCGAAAAATAGAAAGCGGGAGGGGATGATGGGAAAAGGGAAAAGGCGGGGGCCTTTCTTCTCCCTTTCCCCTTCCCATTGTGCCCCGCGCACTTTCTTTTTTTCTCTTTCTCCCAGCCTCTCTTCGACACAAAGAAGCCTCTGTAGAGGAGAGAGCTGAAAACTGTTCTGTAAATCGTGATTGACGTGCACTCCATAAAACCAGAACTGCCAAAATCCCCGATTGTTTACACGTAATTACCAAGTTGAAGAAAATAAATTGTTAATTTGGCCAAACGCATCTGACGGCTTAATTTAACTTCACTGTTCGAGTCTTTTGATGTAACTTCACACTTCAGTGCGCTCAGACCTACCTGCAGCTGGCTTCCCTAGGGATTTTATATAGTGATTTTCGTAAGGTTCGTTAAACTCTAGTGAAGTTATATATAATCGAAGCACTCTGTACGACCTCAACGAGAAGCGTGAAAACGTTGTTTCATGACTGGTGACACGCAAAATTGTTGTTCGTGAATTCGTGATGAGTGCCTGCCTTGCCCTCCCCCTCCCCCTCCCCCTCACAAGTGGCGAACCCAGGACAAACCATATGCATAATTTACGATTAAATTTCATTTTTTAAGTCTTGATGTGATTTGCATTTTATGTGTGAGCATTTAAACAGGAACACTTCACTGAACCAAAGCAGCGGCGGCCAAATTTTTGTAGTGACAAGGAGCAAAAATAGCGCGTATTGCTGAGTTCACCACTTCAAAGTTTTTCACTTTCACCGACTGTTTTCACTTCCTAGGATTAAGATGGTCCTTAAAAGATGTAAACCACATAATTTTGGTCCTCTAAAAGCAACACATATGCACCATATCCTGGTGTTCCTGTGTTTGTTCTCTTTTTTTACGTTCGTTCGTCCACCCACCCCACTTCCCCAAAATGATTTTGAATGATCCCTCTCGTATGTATGACCCTGAGGGTTTCGCTTTTGCAATAGCCTACTGGAGCATTTTTGCAACATGGCGGAAGCGCCACGCAATCTGCAGTTGCCTTCAGGTTATGACGAGGAGTTTGCCGATGAAGTAGAAGATGATTTTCTTTGCTTAATTTGTCATTTGCCAATGAGGGAGCCTATTCTTACCAGATGCGGTCACAAATTTTGTAATGCATGTCTTGAGGAACGTTTCAGAAGGTAGGCCTAAATACTAAGTAACTTTCATTCCAAACCTTCAGTCAACACCTTAACGAAAAACTGCAGCACTGGTGCGCTTTTCCATTGAACACATCGATCTGAGTAAGAACATCTCAGTTGACGGAAAGTCAGCAACCCTTATTTACTAATGCAAACAACAGACACCTTAGCAGCTTAATCGATTTATTAGACGAAGGCCTTGTCTCTCAAATTTATATTTCAAATCGATTAAAACTTAAACTGATAAATCAAATCTGATACATCCCACCCAGCTGATGATGACCGTTAAATTATGTTACTGACGCACAAGTTAGTTAACGTTGTTTTCTTTTAGCAAACATTTGAAATTACAAAATGTGTGTCGTTTCCGTAAATTGGAGACAAGTAGCCATTGTTCGAAGTTATTGATCTGCTCTGGAATGCGGATATTCTGTCTTTCGTGATCAATGCTCAGCAATAAATAAGCGTTCCAATTTCGCAAGCTGGCCTTCGAGTCCTAGCAAAGTATAAAAACTTGTCAATTTTTGAAATGTCTTGAGTTCTGTGGGTTTTAGGCTCGGCAAATAAAATCAGCCACAAGTTAGTAGAAAGAAGTTTTATGATGGAATTAATTAGTAACTATCTATCAATCGATGTTNGTTAAATTATGTTACTGACGCACAAGTTAGTTAACGTTGTTTTCTTTTAGCAAACATTTGAAATTACAAAATGTGTGTCGTTTCCGTAAATTGGAGACAAGTAGCCATTGTTCGAAGTTATTGATCTGCTCTGGAATGCGGATATTCTGTCTTTCGTGATCAATGCTCAGCAATAAATAAGCGTTCCAATTTCGCAAGCTGGCCTTCGAGTCCTAGCAAAGTATAAAAACTTGTCAATTTTTGAAATGTCTTGAGTTCTGTGGGTTTTAGGCTCGGCAAATAAAATCAGCCACAAGTTAGTAGAAAGAAGTTTTATGATGGAATTAATTAGTAACTATCTATCAATCGATGTTCCTATTAATTTTTATTGAATATAGTCAATTAATCATAATTGTTTCTCACACTGCAAAATAACAGACAGGAAGTTCAGCGCCAGCGTTACTCTTGTCCTGCAGATAGAAAAGGCCTGGACCGAGACCGGGTAAATCACTTCCGTTTGCTTTTTACCTTCTTACGTCTGTTTTTAATGTTTTTGATCTTATTTATTCTTTTAACGCTTACATGTAAACTAAATTACATAGGCGGAGTCCATCGGAACGAGCTGTTACAAAGTTTCGAAACAAAGGTTCCAAATTTTTCAAGCTCTTAAGGACAAGACCAGTTCCATACATGTTCTCACACTTCACCCACATGGTAATGATTCCTATTCAGAACAATAAGGAAATTAGAAGTATTTCAGAAATTTCGAGCAAGGCTATCAATGATGTCGGTGATGATAATGATAATGACACTGACACTGACAATGATGATGGCAATGATGATGTCGCCGATGACAATGATGATGATAATGATATTGATAATATTAATGACGATGACGATGACAATGACGATGATGATGATGATGATGATAATGACGATGATAATGATAGCAGCCTGTTAATTTGGTTCAGGTATTTCTCACGAAGAATGATCTTGCGCTGTTCGTTTAATTCCGTTTTTGTACTTTAGGATGTTTTTCCTGATAATGCAGCAAGAAGGAAAATTTTGTCTTTGGTGATTAAATGTCCAAGTGACGGTTGTTCGTGGACTGATGAACTGAGGAACAAAGAGGTAAAAACCCAAAATAACAATTATATTCAAGGTGCAATGGATTTCAGCATTTAACCAGGATTTAACCAAGGAAAAAACGTCACTTTTTCTTTCTTTTTCATATATTACATTGCTTGTAACAGGCTCATCTGGAAACCTGCCCTTTCAAATTTGTTACTTGTACCAACGAACATTGCCCTCAGATAATGAAAAGAGAAGAACTGGACAATCACACAAAAACGTGCGTGTGGAGTATTATGCCGTGTATGTACTGTAAAGAGAAACAACCAAGGAAGTATTTGCAGGTATATAAAAGTTATTCAAAATAACAGATCTTTAAACAATGTTGTGTTTCCGGGGGGGAACTCATAAAGTTTTTAAACGGGGAGGCTCCTTGCCGAAGTCCAACCCCTTACCCTTTTCATATACCATTTTTGGCAGAAAAGGAACCACTTTCCGGTATACCTTCCATTCTGGCAAATGGTACCCCTTTCACATACCTCGTATACACAACTCTGCATTCCTTTTACCTGCTGTAAATACACTGTTTTTTTTAAATACCAATAAATCACAAATGCAGAACGTTTTCTCCACTATTTCACAGCCACAAAATGCATCTGTTAGTCCTTTTGGGCCTCTCCACAGTCCGGTATGACAGACTTCACTACCCTTTCATATACTTCAACTAGTGAAATCTCTACCCTTTTCATATACTTAAGGCCTAAAAAAATGGCACTCTTTTCGGGCGCGGCCTCCCTGTATAGGTCATTTCAGCAAGTACCCCCGGGTTTGTTCTTCAATTTTGCGCCGTAGAGATGGATTCTCCATTTCGTTCCTCCTTGATTTAGCCTTGTCATCTGTCGGTACATAGGGTGTTCTTCACGCGCGCGACCACAGTTAAATGTCTTTAGCAATTATTTTCTATATTTTCTGGTATTTCACTAAAGTAGAAAAATGAGCAAGTACACGTAACGAAGATGATGGTTACTCAGCTTCAAAAGCAGTACCGCCCACACAAAGTGGCTTTTGCAAAATATATATGATGATAGCAGGTAACCATTTCACCTCTTTCAGACAAAAAGGAAAAAAAGATACTGGTCAGGTCTCAAACTTTCAAGCATTTTTTACTGTGTACACTAAAATTTCCATCGGCTTACTGCGGTGAACTGAAGACAGTCTTCTGTCTTTAGTGTGTAAGGATTAATTATTTGTCTTTTTGCAGGATCACCTTAAAACGTGCATCAAGATGCCCATTCCTTGCCCTAACGACTGTGGGAAAGAGAGATATCCTAGAGATATGGTAATTGTATTTTATCAATTGAGTGAATTTCTTGATGATAGGGTCAGTCATCGCAGAGGACTCGGAGCTGTTAGTTGTCGTACCAGTGTTTTAAAGTTCTCTCTGTATTTTGTACTGTTGAATGTCTAAATCTTTTCTGCGTGTGCATACTTAAAATGTAAAGCTATTTCAGGTAACGTTGTCGTATATCAAGGTCACACAACACCGCAAGATCATGTGGGTAGCTGTAAAATACATTCTAACTAATTTTGTCTTAACTTCACGGCTGCTACTGCCAGAATAGTAGAAAACCTTACAAACGTAATTATTATATTATTATAGTTGACTTTTTATAATAGAAGAATCGTGTTTCATGGCTGAGCTTGTGAATTTTTTAAATTAAATTTGCCATATTGCTTCGAGGTCTCGTCGCTGAGGCTTTCTGACGACGTTATTTGATATATAACGGTATCATAATTAGAAGAACTGCGACTGAGACGATTCAACAAGGTCGTCCCCCTTGCAACGTCTGATTAATCAAAGTGGGGGGGGGGGAATTATAAAATAATGAAATGCGAAATCTGGCGTGGCCGTTCTTTGTGTCGTCAAGCAACGCACCTGGTGCCATTCGCCACTCAAGAAGCGAGAAGGAAACTGCGACGAGTTAACATTCACAAAGACTTATGGTATGTTCAGCTATTGGCCAATTTTTATGTCCTGTAAAATGTTTCGCCAAGACTTCTGGGACTTTCACTAGGGACAGGACTCGTCCCAGTTTTCTACTCGTTTCTAAAGTGACGAATTTGACCTCCCCATCTGGAGAAGCGTTACGTGACGTCAAAGAGAGGTCGAGGACCACAGAGAGGGGGAGACAAGCTTAACCGGTATTAGAAGCCTTAACTTTCTTTTGAAACACCTTTCTTCAGACCTGATCTTCTCTTGAGCTAGTAAAAGAAAAAAAAAATTGTAATATTAAAAGTTATGCGAAGCTCAGGGTTTTGTTTGATCACTTATTTATCATTTTATCTTAGATTCCAAATCACATTAATGACGAATGTCTTTTGACTATAGTCTCCTGTCCATACGCTCAAATTGGGTGCAATCAACAGGTTTGCTCTTTATATTCTATGAGATTGTAAATTAAGCGGACTGTAATCATTACGCATTGTACGTGAGCAACGGTCTGCCAGAAACTTAGATATCATTTAGCTGTATCATCAGGCAACGCCTTTCAGTTTTATCACCGGTGGCTCTATTTGTCTCCTGGCACAATTATTACTAGGCAAACAGACCTATGTTTTGCAAAATGTATGAATACAAATAACAGTTTTGGTTTAATTTATAATATCATTTTCTAAGATTATCTGTCTTCTTTCTACAGTTACAACGCGGAAATGTGGATTCGCATCTCGAGTCAGCCACGCGAGAGCATCTTGACTTAACACGTGTTAAACTTAACAGCTCACAGGTTCAGCTGGTTAAACAACAAGTTCAGTTAGATGAAGCACGAGTTCAGTTAGATGAGACACAAGTTCAGTTAGATGAGACACAAGCTCAATTAAGTTCAACCCAGGCTCAGTTAAAAAATACACAGGAAACAACAAGAAAACTTGAGGAGAAATTAGGGGCTCTTCAGACGTAGCTAGAAACAAAAGTGAAGGCAGATAAAGGGGCCGACAACAAACGGTTTATTTGGAAGATTGAAAATTTCAGTGAAATTTTGAAGCAAGCCAAGGCTGGATTTAAGGAAGAGGTAGTAAGTGATCCATTTTACACTGGATGTTATGGCTACAAATTACAAGTGATAGTGCGTCCTTTCACTAAGGGGCTGACCCAATTACACGACTCTCTCTACTTTGGTATCGCTTAAGTGGAAGGTAAATACGATGACATATTACCCTGGCCTTTTACAAAGAAAATAACGTTCACAGTGATTGATCAAAACGAGGATCTCAAAGAAAGGGAAAACATTACAGCAGATTTAAGGCCAATTTCTAAAGCACCTATATTCTGTGGCAGACCAACGGGGCATTTATCGTTTGATAGTGATCGTATGTGTTTCATACCTCATGAAAGGCTTCAAACAAGGCGCTACATTTTGAACGACAATTTGTTTCTTCAGGTCGATGTAGGACCTGATGACTGGATAACTTTTTAGACCGTTCTTACCTGTTTAGGCGAATCACGCAGACAGAGTTGATACTCATTCCACATGTCGAGAAACTAGAGGCTTTTTTCTAAATAAGGGGTAATTCACTTTTTACTCAGTTAAGTATACGTTTTCAATAAATGGCTCATTCAAGTAGTCTCTAGGAACTGCAGATGAAGTCATGAACTTGCACTGGATTTTTTTAAAGTTAAATTATTTTGTAGCACGCTAGTTTTTTCTTGTATAGGAGCCTACCTTCTCAGCCAATCTTAACAATAATTACAGTGGAACCTTCATTCATGGGATATCCTCGGAAACAAAGCAAGTGTCCCCTGAATGGAGACAAATAAAATATTTTTCCTTTTCTTCTGGCTTGCGTAGAAAACATTTTCGCATGAGTTCGTCGAGAAAGTTGGTTGCTGTCATTATCTCAAGCAGCTAGATAATGTATAAAAATCATGATTAACTTACCTCTGCGATGTTGAGTACGTGTTGGCAATACATGCCGAGACAGTTCGTGTTTTTTTTTTTTGTTGTTTTTTTTTGTTGTTGTTTTTTTTTTGTTTGTTTGTTTTTTTTTTTTTTTAATAACATTTTTTCAATCGACAATCAAAAATCAAAAATACTTACAAAAACTAAGATACTTAAACTACTTACAAAAAAAAATTTAAAAAACAATAAAATAAGGAACTTACTCTGTTTAAAATGTAAATACT